TTTGGCTGACCTATTTGGAATCTCCAAGGCTTCTCCCACCAGACGCAGAGCAGAAGAGGGTCGGGGTCTTTGGGAGTTAACTGAAGCCTGCCTGGCGAGTGTGAGGCCATAGTGAGCTTGGGTCACTGTGTGCTACCTGGTCTTCCTGTTTAAGGATGGCCCTCCTCACATTGTCTTCTCCACCCACCCTTCAGCGCAGCTTTGGCAGTCAGATGTGGAGTCCACAGTGAATTCCAGCCCGGAGCCAAGGACAGAGCTATTGTTCCCTTTAACTTGTATTTGAACGCACACGGGGCATCACACCTAGGACTTGGGCTTTCTTACCTGGAGCAATGTTCGTACGTGTTCTCATCCCGATCCATTACAAATGCCATTCTCTTTAGCATCTCTTTCTCATGGGTGTTTCTGCTTGTTTAAACCCCTCCTTTATCTTGGAGCTGCTTTTCTACTAAGGAATAAAAATGAAGCACTAATTTCTGCATTTACAAAGGAATCAGAACCACACAGCTTTTCCCATCTCTACATCTGATGACTAACCTATTTGAAAAAGAAATGGTGAAAGTTCTTTCCTCCACAGGTAAAGTTATCCAGAAACAAACGATACTGTTAACCTAATTATTTGCTATGGACTGTTAAAAAGAATAATTGGAATTCAGAAATTATTCAGCCCTTTAAAACTTCAAATGAATCACCAAAGTTCTAATTTTCTGGGACTGCTTCTATGCCACAATACTACCATGATTGTTTCAAGATTTTATTGTCATGTAATTTATCAAAAGAACCTAAATCGTTTCTATGGGAATATAGGAGTGCATCGAGGTGACAAAACATTGACATAGATAGAACTGATCCATAAGTTTTTTAAAGTATTTGATTACATACTAAAATATATGTAGGGATTAGGAGAATGGAGAGATCAGTATGGATGGAAGTTATCGGCAAAGTCTCACAGGAGGTCACATTTAGGATGTGTCATAGAAAACAGATATTTTGAACTGTGTCTTAAGAAAGTGAAGGACTAAATATGGATGTGGAGAGAAGATGGAAAATGGGGTTTGCTACTGTGCAAAAATCACCCTGCACATATTTAATTGATGAAGCAGAGACTTATGGAGGCCATTGAAAAAGAAACTTCAAGAACATCTGGATCAAAGTAGCTATTCCAGATGAGAATGTTTACATTTTTTAATGACTCTTCTGGTAGGAATGACATGTGATACACATGGACCCTCTATCTTAGACCCTCTTTATATAATTCATATGGAAAGATCTGCATTTCCCATAAGATTTCCCCAGGGTCATGTTTTTTTATTTGTATCTCAGATGCTTCATACACATGACTATTGTCATTTGCACTTGAGACTGGGGTGGAATTAAGAGTGTTGTCTTCTCGCTCTGGCTCAGGCACAGCTGGTATTGTGATTTGGGGGCAGTCACTTCATTCTTCGAGGCTTCATTTACCTCATCTATAAAATAAGAGGGTGGAATTAGACAATTTCTCTGGCTTCATTTGGTGCCAATGTTGTATGACTCATGATTCCAAGTGAAAATATACCAGCTCACAAGGCCATTTTGCTGGTTTTTATTAGAAATTGTGGCCATAACTGTATACTTGCAATTTACTCAATCATCCACAACATACATAAAAATACATAATCATTCATAAAATCCATAAACACCTTGGATTAGAAATATTACGATTTTGGTAAAAATGCATCACATCCTCTGTGGTTATTTTGCAGCTTGGTGACTCCTACCCACTTCAGAATTCCAAAGCATGAGATGCTCCCCGATGTCCAACTGGACATCAGTATCCTTGGGCAGCATGTGTTAAAACCAACCTTTTCTGTAACTGGTTTTACAGGAAAGACGACCCTCCTCCAATGATAAAAACACACTGCCTTCTCTCCCCTCTCTTCAACCAACATCCAGAATCTGCTAAAAAGTGCTTATCACGGGCCCTTCCAATGCCCCACATTTGTAAATCTCTGCAATGTTGACATCTCTTCTCATGCAGCCCAGGAGACTGTGTTGGGTCCTATCTTCTGTGTTCTTGGAGGAAAACAGGGAGCACGCAGTTTGTGGTTAGTGAGCAAAGACAGCCGAGCCCAGGGACTGCCGCTCAAGTTGTCTCTGTTGCCCACTCATTGTCTCGTTCCATTATACTTGCACATGGGAGGACATTTGCCAGATCCAGACTCCTTGGACCCCTGTTATTTGTGTGTCTTTTCTCACCTTCAACATGATCTGGACTGGTGTTTTCCTTTGTTAAAAACAAGAACATTCACTGGGAAACTTTTGCTGGCCTCATTTCAGCTCATCATAGCTATTTATTCTGTGTCATAAACTATAATTCTCCATTTCCCTTACTCCCATGTCAGGGGAGCTGGTGGTTTACGGTGGACAGTCAGTGGAATTTGAGTGAAAGGTGGAAGATTTCAAAGAACTACCAAGAGATTATGTAGCAGGTTATAGGACTAAGAACAAAACATAAAATACTCTTGTTCTTGATCACAGTTTGGCAGTACAAAAAAAAAAAAGGCTCATAAAACAGCATAAAGGATTTAGAATTTGTGGCTATACCTGAGAAAGACTTTTCTCTGAGGGAAGCAAATGAATGATAGGATTGGCTTAATAAGAGATTTCCTTTATGTGAATAAACATAATAGCCTAGGATCTGTCTAATTGGTCTCAGTCTTGGGCAGGTATGGAAGCTACAGATTTTTTCCAGAACTCTGTTTAATAGGAGCATGAAATACATGTTGTGGTGCTGTCAGAAAGGCCTAGATGACCTAGAGAGACCTGAAGTACAAGACAGATAAAACTATAGAAAAAAAGATTTAGGAAAGAGAATGAAAACAACAGGAAAGCCTCCAAATATTTAAATACAAAGGAGAACACAGATGTGAGGCCACTGCTGAGCGCTGTTTGACCCCAGGTGTTTGGATTCCGGTGCGGATGTAATTGTAAAAGAATTTTGCTGATAGGTGAATAGTGGTATAATCAGGATGTTGGCTGGGATATTCCAGGCCTTGATCGATCCCAGAAATCATGATAATTAAATTGGCTCCATTCTCAGGATGCTGCAGACCTGACATTCTTACTGAAAGTGTCACAGCAACTTCTTCAACACAAGGCTCCTGGTGGAGATACCACAAATGGAAAAAAAAAACAGGGAGGTGGTCAACTGTGAACATGACCCTAAAACTGAAAGAGTAAGTGTCAGCACCTTCTTAGTTGGAGGAATGGGATTGAGATTGTATGGAGTTTTTCAACAAGAACAGTTTTCTAAAGACAAGAAAAGTTCCACATTCAACAAGTGCTTACTATATCTGGGTGCTTTAAATATCCAGAGGAAATGCGCAGTCTCTGTTCTAAGCTTCTGTTCTGGGAAGGCAGCACTCATGACGAAGGGATCTCTGATCAAAACCACTTGGAAGCCTCCGTTGTCAGGCACTGAGAGATCTGGGCCAGGAGCTCCTGGATATAAGCTACACTTTGAATCCACACCCAAATTTAGAACATGTCCTCAGTTTGTGATAATAATAATATTACAGCTGAGGTAGGTATCACTTTTCTTTAGGACATCATGATTCAAGCTAGTTGCTTTTTTTTTTTTTTTTTAAGTAGACTCTATATCCTGCCTGGAGCCCAACACGGGGCTTGATCTCAGGACTCTGAGATCAAGACCTGAGCCGAAATCAAGAGTCAGAGGCTTCACCGACTGAGCCGCCAGGTGCCCCTGGTTGCTTTCTTGAGTGTGTTGTGTGTTTATACTCAGAGAGGAATAGGAGACCTCATATGTTGGAAAAAATGGCTGAGAGCTACTCTTCATTGCGTGTGGAGCAAGGGACCAAACCCCGATTTCCCTCTATCCTCACTGTCATTGCTCCTGTTTTTCTTTGGGCCGAGAGTCTGAGGGGAGGGCCGTTGGACGTGTAAGTCCAGTTCACCAGGCCAAGCATGTGTCTGGGGCCTCCGCACCTCTGTGCTATAAATCTCTGGGCACCACATGGCCCCTGCAGTGGCCAGGCCTCACAGGGACATCTTGCTGGTGACGGTGTCCCAGCTGGTGTTCTGCTCAGCTTCACACATCCATCATTCCTGCCTGCGCTGATGTGGGTGGCAGGACTGGAGCGCGCTCCTCTCTTATTTCCTTGGGCAGGCTGGATGAGCAGCTTGCCAAGACGTGTTTGGGGGAACTGAGAGGAGAACAAGGGGGCGGATCTTGACGGGTGAAACCTTGGGGGTCACGATTCCCCAAAGGTTCTGGGTGAAACTGTTTCAGAGATCTTTCAGTTCGGTTCCCTGTACTTGTGTTCTCATTGGGCGAGTCCCAGGCCAATGCTGGCTTGGGTGGATGGTGTGGGAGCACCATCCCTGATCTAGGCTGAGGCTTTGGAAGCTGGCCTTAGCAAGAGCACAGAGCCTTGAGCAAATGCAGTTAGGAATGACTCGGTGTTTCCAGGAGAACACGTGGTAAAACAGGACTCCCTCTCATCAGTTTGACTAACTCTGCATTTGTGTTTGCGTGGGTATGTAGAGGAGAAGGAACCAGGGAATAGTTGGTTTCTCTGGTTATGAAACTATACAAATGAACAGAATATAACATAAGACAAAGAAGGTCCAAGGCAATCTACTCTTCTTCCCCTATCCTACATTAGTCCAGAGAACATGGGTAGGAGTAAGATTTTCCTTTAGCCATCTTTGACAAAACAGACTTCAAGAAGCATGCAAGAAATGTCGCCCTGTCAGTTCAGGTCTGGTCCCAGATTTAGAAGTAGCAGCCAGACCTCAGAACTGCTGGGGGTCCTTGGCCGGTGGACTCAAGAGTCCGATGCCTGTCCTCATCTGCACATTTAATGTGACATTTGGCTCTAACACTAGAGATGTAAGAATGTGAGCAAAGGAAACAATCTCTTACTGTAGATATTCAGCAGAGTGTAAACGGGGACCCGGACGAGACTTTAGCTCCTTAGCATCCATTTCTTCTGCTCCAGATGATCAGCTGAACTCCGAGGAAAAGAAAAAGAGAAAGCAGCGGAGGAACAGGACGACGTTCAACAGCAGCCAGCTGCAGGCTCTGGAGCGCGTCTTTGAGCGGACACACTACCCAGACGCCTTCGTGCGAGAGGACCTCGCCCGCCGGGTGAACCTCACCGAGGCCAGAGTGCAGGTAACCGAAGTATTGCCTCAGGGGCACGCATCGCAGACTGCTCAAAAATGCCAGTCGTTGGTTTCACACAGGAGCTGCTACTAAGAAAGATTACAAAGGGGCAGCGTGAGGACAGAATCAGATCCTAAGTGTGTTTCTTTGGGCAGCATAGTATTTGTGTTTTTATTTTTAAAGATTTTATGTATTTATTTGTGAGAGAGAGAGCGAGCACAAGCAGGGGGAGCGGCAGGCAGAGAGAAAAGGACGCAGAGGGAGAAGCAGGCTCCCTGCTGAGCAGGGAGCCCGACGTGGGGCTCCATCCCAGGACCCTGGGATCATGACCTGAGCAGAACACAGATGCTTAACCGACTGAGCCACCCAGGTGGCCCAGCATGGTATTTTTACAAATCAGGTTTAAGCCCTTAGGGGGGCAGAATTCCCTGCTGCGAGGCTCACTCCTCATTGCTGCCTGCCCTTGCAGATTCCCGTTACAGACATTGTAATTCTGAGCATTTGACTCTACACCTCCCACCCCAGCTTTTGATTTGAGCTTTAGGGTGGCCAAGGAGATGAATTCTCTGCTCCCTACCTCAGATTTCCTTCCCCGATTTTGGGAGCTCCAAACCTGCAAGAGATTTATTATAAAGACACATGGTTGTGGACACTGGTGTGAGTGGAAAGGAGCACATCAAAGACCTTGCATTTAAGAATGGAGCTAAGAGCATGTTCAAGTGAATGATTTTGTGTTCTGTGAAGCAATGAAGGGCAAGGGCATGCAGGACAGTGTAGAGAGAGAACAGCACTTCTTTCTAACATTAATGCCATGGCACATCAACTGCAATCCAGACATCTTGAAATAATACAACCTGGGATTAGTAATAATGATGATAATCACCTAATAACTAGCACTACTTGAACCCTTATATGCCAAGTGCTGTTCTAAGTCCTTTACATGAACTAATCTGTTTCATCGTCATACCAGTTCAGTGAGGTGGATAGCATTCTTCACCTTGCAGATGTGGAAACTGAGGCACAGAGAGTTTCCAGTATTTTGCCCAGGGTCACAGAGCCAGCAAGCGGCTCAGCTGGGATTTAAATGCAGATATGCAAAGTTCATGCTTGTAAGCCCTAGAGTAGACTTTGAATGAGTAAGAGTCTCCTGGCTAAGTGCTTCCTCACGGGGTGCCTTCCTCTCTCTGCCGGAAGTAAAGATCTCATTGTCTTCCCTAGAGCTGGTGGTGGGCTGCCGTTTTGATAAGAGTGGGTGTGGATTAGGCCAATCTGTCTTGTCTTCTTGAGGAAATTATTGTTTGTATATTTGTGCTCAGTCTGGACTTGAGGGATTTCTTTCTGCAAGTGACAGATCTCTTGACTGACAGGGACTTTAGCTACACCCAAAGGGCATTGAGGTGAGAACTGTGTCCAAGCCATGAGGTGCAGTATACTGTGAGGGACACTTGTTGAGTTGATGGAGGCAGTCCTGGGGGTCCCTTCAGCCTGATGAGAAAGTTTTCCAGAGTTCTCCCCATAGGGAAGCAGTGACTTCACCTAGAAGGGCTCTCCCCAGGAGAGAACAAGAGGTCAGCAACAAAAGGGAAAGTTGCCTAGACCGCTACCCCACGTGCGTTAGGCGAGGCCCTCGGCACTGCTTGGCAGCCCCTCACGGCTCAGGTAAGAGTGACCTGCAGGATCTGCAGGGACAAGGCTCAGTTGTGCTGTCTCGATTCCGCCTTCCAAAGCACAACCCTGAGGTTTACTTCCCACATCCTCTTCCCCCATGCTGCTAACCACAGCTCTCCAAACAGCCTCTGTATTTCCACTCTTAAATCCCTTCCTCTCCCTTCACACCCCCCATATCTTCTATGCCCCAGGCTTGGCCTGCTGCAGTGTAATGAGTAATTTTAGACCAACAACCCACAGTACCTTGAAGCACCACTTTGGCATGGTGATCTGAATTGTAAATAAGGACACCTGGATGGGACAACGCTAGACATTTTTTTTTTTTTAATGTGAAAGAGCAGTTTGTGAGCTGGTCTTTCCCCCCTTACAACAATAAACAAATGCTTTCTTACACGTTGAAACTATTTTCTCTTCCTCCTTTCTCACCCTACTATGTTCTAATCCCTCTTGGAGCTGTGGACATTTCATATGTGTGTGGACAGAATTCTCCCTCCACCACATTATTTTTCCTCCGTGAAGTTTACCCTTCCCCAGTCTGCACCGCTCCCTTCTGACCCTGGCTTTCTTTATGGCATTTATCACAACATGACGCCTATTATATTGAGTTGTATGTGGGCCAACTTCCCCAACTAGTTTGTGAATCCTCTTGGATGGAGGCCATATCTTATCATTTTTGCAAGATTCATTTTTTTCCCTCTTTCTTTTTCCTCTTATTTTTCTCCCCCTCAAACATCTATCAAGCACCTATTATACTCTTGGAACCGTTTCAGTTTGCTGGGGATGAGTAAGACACTGGCCCTCTCCGTAAGGGTGTTGTAGACTGGAGACAGAGAAGATAGATGTGCATGCCATACTGTTATGACATATAAGATGATTCCTATACTTAAGGAATACACGAGAATTCATGATAGACCAGAGGAAGAAATGATCAAATCTGCCTGGGAAAAAAGGGGGGGAAATACACACATATTAAGCACCCATTCTGCGCCAACTCTCAGGACAGCCCTGTGAGTACTATTGTCTCTGTGTGGTTTGGAGACAAAGGATCAGAGGCACTAAATAACTATTCAATGACAAAATTTTAAAGTAGTGGAACCAGTAATTTGATCCACTCCATTAGACTTTAAAGTCACGTTCTTTCCACTATAACTGTTTACAAAAGAGATGATATTAAAATCAAATCTTGAAAAAGCAAGTCTTTGGACACCTGGACAAAGAGGGGGAGACTATGACAGACAGAGGGAGCCTTTGGTGTGGGAAATAACTGGATGCATCTGGGAGTCTCGAGCCCAGGGTAGGAACTGGAATGATGGAGGGCCAGTGCATGGGGTCCAAGTGATGCAGGATGTGGCCGGGTTGGTGGACCAAGAGCTAGTTCCTGAACAGCCTTTGTTCTATGGTAAGAAGTTTTGATTTTATTCTGTGAGCGATGGAGAACCAGTGGATAATATAAAGCAGGGCACTGATAGATTCCATTTGCATTTAAAATGATCAGAGTAATAGTAATGCCAAGGACACGTGAGAAACAAAAGAGCTGGGCGTGTGCGAAGCCAGAAAGTGAGGACCGGATTCTCCTTCCCTGATGTCTGCCTGTCCCTTCCACCAGCACGACGCACGGGGCACCAGCCACGTGGTATTTTACACCCATGTTGCTCCCAGGAGCTGTGCCACTGTCCCACTCCACACCACACAATGTCTTTCTCCCATGCCTTGCTCTGTGTTTTCCATAATTGTACCTAAAAGACTTGTTCGCAGTTTTTCAAATTTACATGCCTGTCTTCTCTTAATAGACTATGAGCTGCTTATAAGCAGAGAATTAGTCTCATGTCCCTACTCCCAGCAATTAGCACAGACTCTGGAACTTGGCAGGGACCCCATAAAGATTTCTTGAAGGAGTAAACGATTGAATGCAATTCCGTGGCACTCTGGAGGACTTGTATGGTCATGAGCCAGATGTCCTCGAGCACAGAAACTTAGCCATTGATTATCTGAGTGAATTTCAACAGATGACTTAATCTCATCGAACCCGTTTCTTCAACTCTGAAATAGAAGAAGCAAAACCTAATGTACGGAATGGGCACAACAAGTAGAAGTAATGTATGCAGTGTGGTTATGGGAGTTTCTAGCCCTAGCAGCACTTGATAAATGTGTTATGAGCTGTAGCGGATGCTGTCGCTAGCTGCTTCTTGCTGTAACTTCCTCCCTCTTCCCCTGGTGCTCCTCGCACCTTCCAAATAAACCACTTGCTTCGTATATTCTTGCCACAGGCGTTGGTGATGAGATGGAGACTTTTCTTTAAACGTCCAATAACTATTTCAAAAGCAGATGATATTTTCACATTTGGGAGAATTTTGAAAAAGACTTTTAAAAATGTCACTGTATCCATGGCAGATGTCTAATGAGGTTTTTCTCTTCTCCTTGAGTACAAAACAACAGGGATTGTAACCCACATTTTGCTGCCTTGTGGGCTGGTCGTGGATCTCATCTCCGGGGGGCATGATGGAAGTCCCTCAGGGTCCTGTTGTAATAGTCTTCTCTGATAACAGGGTAGCTCGCTAACCTGGCCCAACAGGGAAGGACTGTGACATCTTTGTATTGCTCTGGGAAGAATTCTCACCCGTCCTGTTTCTTCCTTGGGGAGGCGTTATGTGGTAACATTGACCAGGACGTTATTCGTTATCCGTGTAACCTCTTCTTTGTTCCCCTCTCCCTCCCTGTGCCCCGCTCTCCTCCCGACGCTCTTCCAGGTGTGGTTTCAGAACCGAAGAGCCAAATTCCGCAGGAATGAGAGAGCCATGCTGGCCAATAAAAACGCTTCCCTCCTCAAATCCTACTCAGGGGACGTGACTGCTGTGGAGCAGCCCATCGTACCTCGTCCTGCTCCACGACCCACCGATTATCTCTCCTGGGGGACAGCCTCTCCGTACAGGTGAATGACTGGCCCACCCCCCCTTGCTCCACTTCCACACGTTTCTCAGCGGTCGGTCACGTTTCAGAGCTGCTGGTGTGGCTGGCTGACATTTCTTACTGGGTTAACCTCTTCAGAGACATTCAACTTGCTGACACCCCCAGATTTGCACGAGAGATTACTAGTTGCCCCAGGAGCAGGGTTTGGGGCAGAAGAGAGAGGGACAGGCCATCAGCAATCTTCTCTTGGACTCAGGAACTCTTGCAAAGTTTTCAAAGATGAGGAAGAATCTAAAAGAAAAGATCATTAAGCTATGCCCAGAGTCCCTCTTGCAAACATTCAGTAACAAAACTTGACTCCAATTCCAAATTTAAGATGTGTCTCATTACGCTCAAGTAGAAATTTAACTTGTAAGCCTCCAGGTATAGGCTCAAAGACAAACTTTATGGTAAAACTGATTTTGAATTAAAAGAAGAGAAGGAAGGAAAGGAAAAGGAAGGGAGGAAGGAAGGAGAGAGAGACAGAGACAGAGAGGGAAGGAAGGGAAATCCACGACCATTCTGATCACGCTCATGGCCACAGTCCCTTGTTAGCAAGTAGGGATGTCTTATGATCTAAAATACCTCCTGTTCTATTGCAAATTCTTATCCACTTATCTGAAGTTCTTTGGGGGTCCGTTTGTCTGGGTGGGGTTTTTAAAATATAAAAACAATGTATAATTTACACTAAACTTTTATATTAAAAAGGTGAAAAATTTTCAAGAAGCAAATGACAGAGTACTATTTCAATTTCTTGGAGAGGCTTTTTAAATCTCCATTTATTATCTGTTCAGATAATACAGGTTAATGCCCAAGGGAAGTTGAGACCCAAGTGCCTAAAGCATCATCATTGTTCCAAAGTGCCTTTCTTTGAACCAACCTAAACCTGAGTACTCTTAGAAACCAGGTCAAGGCTGTGTGCTCTCTCTGGCCAATTGCAGTGGAGGAAGTATTCACACATTCACTTATTATGCTTTTATTTGCCTTTTTATTGTTAAGGTTAATTAACGCTTTAAGGAGAGGTCTTAAACTAGTTATAGGAGATTATTTCCCAGCTAAAGCTGAACTCCTGATATGAAATGCCACATTTGTGAAATGCAAATACTTTTCAAAAGTTGATGGTTTTAATCAAAGCATAAGGCCTCACCTAAATGTTCTTTCTGTTCCAAATCAATTCCTTGAAAGAAATGCCATAAATGTATTTGGAATTTTTTTTAATCCCCCATTGTGAAATTAGTCTGAATTATGTTGGTCTTAGCACTTAGAGACCCCATACCTGGGAAATTGGAAATTTCTTCATCTCTCAGATATAGTAAGCCTTGCTGATTTCAAAAGATTAGCCCTATCTGTATGTCTGACTTAAAATTTAGACTCTTCCCATAGGACTTACTAAAACACATTTTGAAGACCATTGTGAAATCATATATTCTTTAATATTTTAAATAAGTAAAAGACTGCTTTGTTTCTCTGATAAATAATGGTAGCTCACAGACTCATTAAATGGCTTGGGAAATGGATGTGGTTCAAAGCTTGATGTTTCAAGGTCTCTGGTTTGAATTTGGTCACGACCAGGAAGTATTATGCCTTTTCCTGCCTGGGTCCCAGTTAGAAACTTTTCACACCAGCTCTAAACCATCCAGATGGCTGCCATATAGTCCTTACCAGTGAGAGTCTGAGGGCAGTACGCTACCTACCTACCCTACGGTGGGTTGGGCTCAAATCCTCCCTAAATTACTATTGGATCAGACTGCTTGCACCTCAACGAAAGGTCAAGCCCTAATGCCTGCATCATACATATTTTGTATATGGGCATCTAACTGAAATTATTAACATGCAATTTATGTGTGCCTTTTTTGGAAATGTCCTACTTTATTTTGGAAAGATTATGTAGAAATACTAGATACATTTTTAAAAAACATTCATAATTCCATCATCTTAACATAACTAGTTTGGTTATTTTTACAATTAGAGTTCAGTATTTTATATAGTGTAGCCTTAGTGTACATATTTTGTATTCTGCTGTTTTCATTTAAAAATCATATAAACTAGTGTTTTTTACTCATTTCACGGTATACTTTTATATAATTTTTTCTCTTAGATACAGAATTTGTAAAAAAAAATTAAAAATCGCATAGAATCTGATTGTTCATATTCTGTATGAAGAATAAATTAATCTCCAGATAGAAGTAGAAGAATGATGGTTTAAAATAGTAATTTAATCAGTATCAATGTTTTTGACCCAATGTTGACTGCAGTGTTTATATTTTGGTTAATTTCTAAAAGTGGCAAAGCTATTCTGTTACTCAGAGATTTTTCTGCTATGTTTAGAACCAAAATACATTACGGTTTCACATTTTGAAGCTTGGTAGGAAACATGTCTTGTTTAGGAAACATGAAAGAGAAACAAGTGATGAAAAGCAAAGGAAACGATAGACCTTTTGTGTTATAAAAAATTAACTGGCTATTTCTGTTGGTACATTTATGTCAAGTTAGTTATCTCACATGTGACATTCATTAAAAGGCATTTCTTTTGGTTAATCCTTGGAACTCTCCTGTGTGCTAGCTCTGTCCTTGCTTCGGTTCCAAAGAAGAAACTGAACACTTGCTCAAGTTTAAGCCTTCAGCAAGCAGAATAAGACCCAGTGCTCGTGATCCCTGTGTCTGTTCAGCATCTTAGGCCACATCACCATATTTTCATTCAAATTAAGCCTTACATTACATTGAACATAGTAAAAAGGGTAAGACCGGGAAACTGTGTAAACATGCCCTTTTGATTCAGTGTCTATCTCAGATCAGTGAAGCACACCCGCGGCCGAGATCCACCTTCTGGGGTGTGTGAACATCCCCTTGGGATGACTGATGTGGCTTGGTCATGCAACCCAGGGACAGTGAGCAGACAGTTTTGCCAGAGAGGATACTTTGCTGACTTCCACAACTCTCCCCTGAAAGAGGAGAGGAGGAAACCAAGACTCAAAGCAATTGTTTGCATGTGGTCAGAATTATGGGATGGAATATAGCCAACACATTTTTTTCTGGGTGTCTTTTATATCCGGAGTGGTGGCTGTATAATTTATTGTCCAAGCTGGGACACTTTTGAGAGTGAAAGGGGAGTGCTATTAATAATGACACCAGAACAACAGGCGTCACAGGAGACATATGGGTCACCCTATTTATAGCACGACCTGGCCCCGTCCGTTCCCTTGAGCATGTTATAGATGATGATGTCAGGCAGGCAACTGAGTCACCAGGAGGTGCAAAGAGTTCTCTAACACAGACAATACTGTCCTGGCAGGTGTCGTCTTTATCTACCCATAGCCAGTGGAGGGAAGCTTGTTTTGGCACATTTGCCCACTGCTTAGCTCAGAACTGTTTTCCGTAGGCAAAGGAGGGTACGCACAGCACCAGAGGTATTAAGACTAACAAATATTGTGGTGCTTTGCCTCTTGGGGAGCAGTGATCAACCAAATCCCAGACTTTTAACTGTTATTCTAGATTTTAAGTAGTCAAGAAGCCTCTCCCCAGAGACATCCTTTCCTATGGGAGCTAGAGAATGACCTGGGTCTGCAGTGCCAACTCCAGAGGGAGGACTGGGCTTCAAAGAAAACTAGTGACAGGCAAGAGAGTGGCCAGCCGTCCCTGTCCACGGCTCCCCTCCCCATCCTTCTCCTCCTCCCCCATTTGATCGTGGTCACGGTGCTGCCTGACATCCACTGAACGCATTTGGCTCATTTCTCCCTTTCACACTTTCAAAAATAGATCCTCGTCCCTCCCAAGATGTTGTTTACACGAGGGGCTTCATAACGGATTCTAACGGAAGACACTGAAAAGGTAACTTGTCAGAGGGGGAAGAGGGTGGCTGCTGGGGGTAGGGTTTAAGTGGGAATGAAGTGTGTTCAAGAAAGTGGGCCTTGCAGTTTTAGCAATGCCGCTAGTGAAGTCCTCAAGTGGGGAATACTATGGGAAACCAGAGCTACAGGCATATGTGTCCATAAAGTTAAGGTTAGTCGGATAGCCTAGAGCAGGGCTCCTTGAAGACTACTGAGCATGTGAATCACCTGGGATCAGGTTGCAATGCAGACTCATTCTGTTAAGTCTGGAGCAGGACTCAGGGTCTGCATCTCTAACTTGCTTGCCTGTGATGCTGATGCTACTGACACTTAGTATTCGGTGACCGTAGGATATGGGGCAGGGGTCGGGAGAACTGTGTGCTTGTCCTGGCACCTGCTGCTCCCCAGGCCAGTTGGATCATCAGGCTCTTATGTAGCCTTGCATCTAAGGTCAGCTAGCAATGTTTCCCTACTACATAGCTCACAGGGGCACTTGATTCCAGGTAGTCCATGTGCATTTCAAAAAAGAGACACAAAAGTCCTTGAGACAAGACAAAGATATAAGGTTCCATGTATAAAAACATTTCTAGAAAGAAAAGTTGAATATGGCAGAGGATCACTGAAAGAGCAGTGCAAACTGAAGGCTCACGCAGGAAATATGGTCCAAGTTGGATCTGCTTTAAGAGCTAAATACGCGTTTAAAAAATCAACTTCTGAATTTCAGAAACACAAGTTAGAAATGCTTATTTAAATCACAAAAGATCACTTCCAAAAGGATTTATGGGGTCTCTCTTTAGAAGTAAATTTCCATAGGAAAGCTGGTATGGAGTTGTCTTAGATGAAGCAGGTATACCTCTGTTCCCGCACTGACAAACGCACAAGCAGAAAGATGGTCTCCAACCTCCACACATCACAAGACAGAGTCACAAAAGCCTCACACTCTACAGCCTTTGGAAAAATCCCGAGCTGGTGAAACCTTAGGATCTCAGGATGACACACAGACTTCTCGGGCTGACAGATTTGTCTTTGGGGGGAAATTTTCAACAGCTTGTCATCATTTGTCCAAGAGGGCCAAAGAGAAAACAAAGTTAGAGCTGAAAACTGAGGCAGGCATTATTTTTCCTCCAGCGCTCCTCAATTGTTTGGTGATTTGTGGGGCGTACACCACGGGCGATTCGAAAGCAGAGGGGCAGATGCCCATAAGTTTCCTGGCTTTAGAATCATACCGTATATAGAATTTTCCATGCTTCCTTGGTGTTTGGCAGTCATCTGAACACGTTCCTCCTCCCGACAACCTTTCGGGGTAGGTTGAAATGATCAAAAATGATTTGTCCCCAGTGCAAATGGAACTCGAACCCTGCCGTGGTTAGCATTCTGCTGTCTGTGGCTGAGCTCCATCTGTTAGGAATCTCCAAATAAGGAGATGGAAAAATTTCAAGCTTACTTAAATTTGTCAGCTCTGTACAAGTCCTGGTGCAGAGCTGCTGAATCAACAGATGGGAATACAAGCATTTCTTTTTCATCTCCAGTTCCTCAATGCACTTTATTTGGCAATGCAGTTTCTCAGTCACAGACACAAAGAACTGACATTCTTAAAAACTCGACAGAAATGATGCTTTCGCCAAATTCTATAAATCCAGTCCCTGTACTCAGCTCGTGTCTGTGTCCTGTTAGAGGAGCAGGTGGTTCTTAGAAGGCAGGACCAATGGGCAGGATCTCTTAGTGTTGGTAAGCAGGCTCTTGGCATTATCATGCGCTTAATCGATACAAATCACTTAGTTTCGGTCTCACTTTCTGATCTGGGGAAGCTTGATCCTGTGTAGGAATGAGTGGTCATTTTACGTTTTGAATGGTCCTATAAAATTGGTTGAAAATAGCTAATTAACCCTCCTTGGCTTTGTCTTGTGAGAAAATGTTTCAAGGTTCTCTCTCTTTTCCTAACATAGACCTTTATAAGTTTTGGTGGCATGGAAAACAGGTGGTCACAAAAAATCTTTCGCATTGGCAGCCACTCAAGGCTCTCTTGCATCTGTTGTCACTTTGGGAAGTGAGTCCTCTCCAATTTAATTTTCATGCTGTTTTTAAAGCATGACTAAGCTGCTCTAGAGTACCCACTCATTAATTCTGTCTTCTCTGACCTGTCACAAGTCTTGCTTGTCCCTGGTATGTCAACAGATTGCCCACTGCATTCCTCTATGGCTCTTTTAGTGCAAGTTGAGAAATTAGACTTGCAATTCTTTGGTATGTACACAAAATATCACTATGGTCTCTACTTGCAGGGTTATATATTCTAAACATTGGTTAAGAGGCTATGAAGTAAGACTGGCTCTGTTCTTTTATCCTACTTCTTAGAGCTACACAATGCGCTGGAGTAAGTTGGATCCATTTTTGAAAGTTTATAACTTTCCTAAACATTTATCAAGGGCAAATTAAGCTCCTAGGGAATTGCAAAACTCATTCATTAACATCAGCTGCTTTTTTAATCTTCATGCCCCACTAACTTGAGGGCTACCTATGAGGCATTGTCTCAGTGTCACTAATGCAGTGGTGTCCTTATAACGACACCACAGTACAATTGGACAAGGGTACTTTCTTGACTCTAGAAACTCAGGCTTCCATTTAAGGGAAAGAGTCCTAGTGAAAACCCAATTTCCTGTGCAATGTATAACTCTAATTTGCACTGAGTTGGTTTTGAAGATGGAAAACAGATTATTTCCTGGCCTGCATTAGAGAGAATATCTCAGTATTTCCAAGAGATGTGCTACCATATGAAGTCTTAAGATTAGAATATCAGATGAAGTTTGTAAACTATGAAGCAACTATAGCACGAGTGGCTGTAAAATAGATAATATCAAAGTCACAGCTATACTAGACATTTCTAGAAAACAGTGATAATGTCTTCAGTAAACAAAAATAATCCCACAAGGTTCAAGTCCCCTTTGTCTACTATGGAAAACGGACTACACCTTTGATCATCAAAAAAGGAGAGAATCTCTATTAACTAGGACTTTGCTTGCCTAGACCCTCAAAGGCTGGAAAATGGATCCTTAGAAAATTAGATCAAGTACCTGAAAGAGCAATACTCCATGACAATCTACAATTTACCATCAGAGAATTTTTTCTTTTTTTTTTTTTTAGATTTTATTTATTTATTTGAGAGAGAGAATGAGAGAGAGAGAGAGAGCACATGAGAGGGGGGAGGGTCAGAGGAGGAAGCAGACTCCCTGCTGAGCAGGGAGCCCGATGCGGGACTCAATCCTGGGACTCCAGGATCATGACCTGAGCCGAAGGCAGTCGTTTAACCAACTGAGCCACCCAGGTGCCCCGAGAATTTTTTCTTTATGCTCTCTCATAAAGTTTTAGCCTTCTGTTTCCAGAAGCCATCCAATTTTATTCTCAGTGTTTAACAAATAATACAGATAACTCACCATTTCAGCTTCTCTCTTATGCACTTTAAATGGTACTATGTACCATCTTCAGGATTTAATTCTTTCACGGAAACCTGGTTGAGAAAGGCTGATTTGATTCATTTCATGATCTATAACTTAGGAACATTTCCCAAACCCAATTGTCTCTTTTCTTAACTACTTACATCTTTGATTTCATTGAATCCTTAGGTCTCAGTATATCCTAGCAATTTCTTAAGTGTAGGATTTACAGGTTTGCATATATTTCTGGTAGTGTCTTGAATGGAAGCAAGTAATTCATACAGAAATTAAATGAGGATATGTATATGGGTTTTGAAAATAAATGAAAATTTTTCATATATAACTAAAAACAATACAAACAAACAAAAAAACTTGTCCCTGGGTTGTTCTGATCATTTATCTCACTCCTAATTGAAACCTATCTTAACCGGGGACTCTTTCTGCCCTTTTGGTAGACAGTGGTAAAAGTGATAGTCTGTTGTATAAATCTAACCTGTACTAATATTTGTTCATTTTTTACCATTAAAAGATATTTTTGAGGGATCAAGAATATGTAGTCATCAGCCCCTGCTTTTGTCCTGTCCCTTCAATTTTGCTCATTCTATTAAGAGAGCAAAATTAATAGGAAGGACTAATTCCTAAAGATAAAAACATATTAGTAAAACATTTTTTAGAGATTTTATTTACTTATTTGAGAGAAAGAGTGATGAGAGAGAGAGAGAGAGCTCAAGTGGGGGGAGGGGCAGAGGGAGAAGCAGACTCCCTGCTGAGCAGGAAACCCGACATGGGGCTCGATCCCAGGATCCTGGGATCATGACCTGAGTCAGGACTCTGAGGTCATGACCTGAGCCGAAGGCAGACACTTAACTGATGAGCCACCCAGGTGCCCCTGGTAAAATATTTTTAAAAATCATTACTCACAACAGGATGATAGAGATCATTGACACTGAGCAGGAATTCATTTAATCATACTAGATATTTCTCAGTTATCTATTCATTAAAAGCTTTCTTGAGTGTCAGATATGTGCCAGATATGATGTTAGCTCTACCTGGGGATATAGTGGTGAATGAGGTCAGATGTGGCATCTGATCTATGAGCTTATAGTTGAAGAATTGAAGTAAGTGCCAAAAGGGAAATTACAGGGTGCTCCAGAAGAACCTAACTTTGCGTAGATGGTTAAGAGCATCTACTCGGAAATGGGTAAGAGTGAAGCAGGCAAAAATGAAATGGAAGAATGTAGGATTCTTTTGGAACCCTACTGAGTCTTCCTCCCTCTGCCTTAAGACACACACACACACACACACACACCAGTGCTATAAGGATTTTAAATTAAGGATGTGTATTTCTGGAGAGACCTAGTGATCTCGGGCTAATTATATTTCATTAACCTAATTTTCCTGGGTTAATTGCTAGTAAGTAAGCTGAAATAGGCTATTGTGAGTCTTGACTGTAAGTCTCGACTATATGGTCTCCCAAACAAGGATTCATGATACAGTCTCTCTATCTGTAGAGTAGCTTTAGATTTTTGTCTTTCTAGTCTGTCACTTGATCCCCAGAACCACAAACTCCTGTGTGGCTGGTAAAATTGCACTGGAATGCAGGGCGATAGCAGAGCGTATGTCATTCCATTTCTAAGTCTATCTCTTTTCAGGCCTCAGTTGAAAGGGATTTTGCTAATCTTAGAAACAAGTAGAAACATTTTCATTTAGTTAAAATGAGTTCCCTTTTAACTGTTTAGTAGACAGTAATGAATAACTTGCCTCCAAGTCTAAGAGACCACTACTTTTTCCCTTAAAAGAAATTCATGGATTTGATTAACAGAAAACCACCAAATGCACATTTCTGTCCAGCTGCATTTCTAGGTCTTAATTACGCTCTCTGACAATGAGAATCAACTTCAGGTTTTTCTCAGGAATAAGGACAAAGAGAAACAGTTAACCTCTGAGGTCAGGAATCCTGAAACTGGCTGGAGCCTTTGCTTGTTTATCTAGGGGATTTAAACATTTCCCAAATAACTGACCCAAAAGGCATCCTGAGCTACTCAAGTCCTTTTGAGAAGAAGCTATAGAATCAAGGCCAGTCGGGATAGGAAGCTCCAGATTTGGCAATACTTAGTGCTACCAACCATTGACTCAAGAATGGGTTGCTCACCCAGTTCTCAAGTACACTATTTAGCATGGTATCCACTGATGACCTAAAATGTGTTAGACTTAAAGTCAGCTACTTAAAGTGAAGAGGGCAAAATGCCCTTTCCTTTTCAAATGCCTGCTTCTCTTGCTCGCTGCTCCCACAGGCTGGTGATGGAGGCAGGAAGAGGGATTAAATACTGTTTCAGTAGGTCGGCCGATGAAATATCCTTCTATTCAACATAAGCAGCTTTCTCCTCTCACCCCAGAGATAAATTATCACTCACCGTGTCCAACACGGCAAATACCTTTCCCTGCCTTATTCCACTCTCCCCTGCTTTTCCCCTGCCCTTCTGAACACTGCCATCCTTTTCCAAGTGCCTTAGACCAGTGGAAACCTGGGGCTGAAAGGGACCTCAGAGGTCATCCATCCAGCCCACCCGGCCCCGCCTTTCCCGTGCTGAGAGGTGCATCCATCTGGGGCACAGACTTGCAGCTTTGTGAAACTAATGTCTGTTATTCTCCCCGCTCTCTCCTTTGTCCCTACAGCGCCATGGCTACTTACTCTGCCACATGTGCCAACAATAGCCCTGCACAGGGCATCAACATGGCCAACAGCATTGCCAACCTGAGACTGAAGGCCAAGGAATATAGTTTACAGAGGAACCAGGTGCCAACAGTCAACTGAGGAAAAAAAAATAATTAAACAGGCCTAAGAAGAAATCAAAAACCATAAGACACCTATCCTGCTCTGTCATTTCTTCATCTGCTGGAAAAAATAAATAAAAACAAACAAACAAACAAAAAACCTGAACTAAAATATTGGGACCATGGCAGAGAAAAGCAGGAGAGGAGCAAAATGAAAATTAGTTAACCAATGTTTCTCCTCCCTCTGAGATACCACCACCACTTGTTTCTGCGTGTGTTTTGTTTTTCCTTCTACTCATGCGCTTTGCTTTAATATACTCCAAGCTTCTTCAGTTAGGTTCAGCCCACCCACTCCCACGATCGTATGGGTTTACAAAAAAAAAAAAAAAAAAAACCTACAGCAGCCAAAGAAACCATATATATAGTCAGAATCATTGTCTAGCGTCTCCTCAGTGACCTGTTTGAACCTCAGTGCCTTGCCCTATCCTTCTTCCCAGTTCTCTGTATAGAAACTCTAGGAACTTCTGAAAAGCCAAAGTCTTTCTGAAGAATCTGTGCCAGATATGATTTCCTGTCTCATTGTCTCCATGTCTGTCAGTCATGGTAAGGTTTTTCCATCAGCTACTGTTAAGAAAGCAATTACGTACAACATCTGGTCACTGGCTTGTCTGATCCAATGTGATTGGCCGTGTCTGGCTAATTCTAAGCTCTAAGCTATAGATCTAAGCTCTCCATATAAGCTATAGATTTAAGCTCTAAGCTGTAGATGATAATATCACCATCACCACCACCCCTCACCCCCATCCAAGCAATCAGCCATTCTAAGTTAAAGATATTTGTTGTTTTTGAATGATTTGCTGTCACGGGCTTGACACTTGAGAGAGGGAGAGACATTTCTTTAGGAAAACAAAGACTGAGTTGTGAAAGGCATGGCCAATATCTCTTTAGTGCCTTAAGGATAGTCAGATGCACACTTATATATATACTGTATATATTTATATATTTTATATATATATATAAAATATTCTTGCAAGCTTGAGTTCGCAGTTTCTCAAACACTACAAAAAAACAATTTCACACCATCACCACTGTCCTTAATCTCTACAGTGATGAGATGTTTTAAAGAATCTTTTTCCTTTCTTTCTCGACATAAAATTCTCATTAAGGCCACAGAGCGATTGATAGAGCATCTGTTTAAGAACAGGTCTCATTTTCACATTTGGGCTTTAAATAAATTAGAACCTATTTGAGGCTATAAAAATGTTCTTGAGTTTGGAGACTGAGCTCTGGTGGAATGGGAATATATCCTAATACGTCATGGGAATTACATTTAGAGGAGTGAAAGCTATGTCATCATCTGCCCCTTCTCCACTCAACAGGAATCTGAAAGACGTGTGTTTAAATGGAATCCTTAAAGTCTTGTCTAAATTCCAAAAATTTAAAAGGCAACTGTGGGCTAGTCTTTTACTAATATTTTGAAATAAAGTTTAGTGCCTAGGGCTGTGAGCCGGGACTGACCTGTCTTTGTTTCTTTCTTTTCATCTTCAGCTGTGCTTTTATAACCTTTCAGGTGGACTAGACCAAACCACACCACCATGCTGTGCCTCAGTTTACCTTTTTGTAAAATGGGTTTAACAATACTTACCTACCTCACAGGGGTGTTGTGAGGCTCTATTCATTTGCTCCTTCATTCTTTCCTGTATTCTCTGTTTGTGCAGCACTTTGTAGCCATGGGAGGAAAGGGACTATAAAAGTAGACAATGTTAATGGAAGGATACGGTACCTGGAAGCCTTGTTTTCTAGCAAGGAAATGCTACCTTGCTGTAAATACTTATAGCCTTGTATTTGGAAATGAGAAATAAGTTTATATTTACAGACCTCTCAAAAATCACATCACTTGACCAAAGAATAACTTAAGATACACAGAACAGACATATTTTTGACATATTTTTAGCCTGACCAGGTTGGTTCCAATAACTTTAGTTATCAGTAATTAAAAAGCTTTAGATTGGTTTTGGCCAAATATGCCAACTCTGAGTGACAGGCATGGACTATTGAGTTTAAGATGCACTTTCAGCACACATTTGTTCCCCCGTTGGCCTATCAAGTTGAACTAACGGTGGTATTTTTTCAGCCAAACAGCCACCAATCTGAAAATGTATTTTAAATGTTGAATCTGTACTTCTTTGAATAACAAGAAGAAAGCCCATCTTATGCATTTTGCTTTCATCCACTCTTTCCCTCTTCTTTTCGCATACTATTAAAATATTTCTTACTGATGTTTCATGTAGGCTGGCTGAACACCACATATTACTTGCTTCCTAAGGAGTCCCTCGACTAATTCTTTTGTCCCACTAGCTGCTGTGGACTCTCAAGATTCAAAGGAACAGTGTAGTCTGACAGAGGAAAACATTCTTTGTGAAATGAGTGTGATCCAAGAAATTGGCGAACTTTTGGAGTTTAGACTTTGGGGAGAATAGTTAAAAGTAAGTTTGGGTTATAGTGCAAGGAACAGAAATCATACATGATGAGATGCTGCTAGGAAAGGGGAATTTTTGAAGAGGGAAGAAAGGAATAGAAGGTCATGTGAAACAGTCATTTGAAGCTTTCATCCTGACATCCATTTTCAGGGGTGAACAGAAAAGCCTGAACCCAAAACCCAAACACTATGTGAAACTGGGCAGTTTTACCACCAATGCCTGGGAAGCAAGAGAGTAGCCAGTGCTGGTCAGCCATAGGAATTTTCACTGTTAGTGAATCAACACCACAAACATTTATTATCTAAGCACCTGATCAAAAAGTATACACATGAGACAAGCACTCAGTATTGTTCATTTATTGTTGATTTTTTTTTTAAAGTAGAAGTTTGATATATGATTTAGAGGAGTAGCCTTTTGGCTTCCAAGCCAGGTCTCAACAGAGGACCTCAGGCCAACAAAGTTCCAAGGCATACCCCCTATTCCTCACCATCATTATACCCAGATGCAGATGAATACGTGCAAACTATCTGTCTGTGTCCCCAATCCCTCCCCAAACAAGATGCTGATTTGTAGGATACTTGGCAGGTTAAGTCAAACCAGAAGAGGTGATTGAATAAAAAAGGGAATGACACTTAGGGTATAAAGATCTCGTAAGAAATGTAATATGTAAATTATATCTTGCTTTATGATGTAAAATATACATTGTTTGCGCTAGAATAGAAATGATTCCTTTTCAATAAAAAGAAGAAGGATATTACTATGCAGTCTTTTGTTATATACATTTGAGTCTGCTGATTCTTTTCTCTTTGAACTTCAAAAATAGATCTGCTAGGACCTAAGGGTACATGCAGGAAAGAGTGAAGGTAAGAGGGATTTGTGAATAGAACTTTTACTGGAATGTGATAGCATTGCCTAAAAATGAAAATAATCTATTCCTCAAAATAGATTTGACAGAGAGGGAGCATTTATTGGTAAAATGGATAAAGTGAAACTTTTATAAGAACTTAGTTATTTTTTACCACTTCTTTAGAATCCACAACATCAGCTATATATGACAAAACAGACAAAATATAAAGCACAGGCTTTTATTTTAGAATAAAGAAATAGAGTAAAACTTAAATACCTATTGTGTTTAGCACTGGGTGTGTGGTAATGGTGGCGGGGTGGGGGAGTGGATAGAAAACAAAATTGGGAGACATGGGTTCTGTTTTCATACAGATTAAGATCTGATTTAAAAGGGAACTCTCTGATGAACCAATGTATGCAACAATTCAAGACAATAAATGAATGTGTCAAACAAATTGAGTGGACAGGAGTCCAGAAGAGGAAGAAAGAAACACTGAGCTGAAGTGGGAGAGAGTTTCACGGAAGAACTGGGACTGTTTAATCAGCTGGGACTGGGAGGAGAGGGGGTGCTGCCTTCAAATCAGAGAATGGAAAAGGGATGAAGATGGGGACACAGGAAGGAGGAATTTGTGCTCAGGGACCATGGCAATATGGGCCCAGATGGAATGGAGGGTTTATTTTGAAGCCTCGTGGAAGAAAACACTGGAGATTGAGCCTTCATCTTGCAGAGTATGGTGTGTCACGACAAAAGAGTTTGGAATTTTGCTCAGGCCATAGAAATCCATTGAAAGTTATTAAGCAGGAAAAAAAAAGAGGTCATGCAAAAAGTACTACTTTAGCAGGATTATTATGGTAAAAGAATGAAGATAAGCCAGAGGAGAACTGGAACTAGAAGCAGAAGAGCAGTTCGAAAGGGGACAAAAAGCAAAGGTTGAATAAGAAACATCTTGCAAGGAAAGAATTAACAAGACTTTATGGCAGGAAAAAGAGAATAGAGTCTAAGATAATACTGGTTTGAAACCTGAGAACTAGGAAAATGAATCACAGACAAAACTGACAAAAATCAACAGAAACAGAGGAGACCCAGTGACAAAAGGCAGTAAAGGCAGTTTTAGGTGTGTTAACTGAATTTGAAAACAAATATAAGTTAAGATCTGAAAGCTTGGCTTGAAACCAAGGTCAAAAATGGAGATAGAACTTTGGGATTCGGGGCTCCTGGGTGGCTCAGTCATTAAGCATCTGCCTTTGGCTCAGGTCATGATCCCAGGGTCCTGGGATGGAGCCCTGCATCAGGCTCCCTGCTCAGCAGGAAGCCTGCTTCTCCCTCTCCCACTCCCCCTGCTTGTGTTCCCTCTCTTGCTGTCTCTCTCTCTGTCAAATAAATAAACAAAATCTTAAAAAAAAAGAACTTTTTTCTTTATTTTTAAGGGGTTCATCTTTAAGGAGGTGGTACCTTGAGGTACAAGAATGAATGAGTTCTTTGAGAGGAGAGAGCATCATTGTGCTTCCATTGGAAGTGTAGTGGACCCTTGAACAACAAATTTTTGAACCATGCAGGTTGACTTATGGCTTCTGGTCAAGAGTAGGTATTAGTAGTTAAGTTTCAGGAGAGTTGAAAGTTTTACATGGATTTTTGACTGCACTGGGGGCAGTCAACACCCCATGTTGTTCAGAGGGTCAACTGTAGTTTTCAGCCCAGGGAGGAAGATTGGACTTTGTAGAACATCTACACTTAGAGGTGAGAGCTACAGAAGGCAATTTACAAGGAACTGTTTGAGAAATAGGAGGATCAGCTTGTT